ATTTTTCGTCAGTGTGATCCCAGTCAGTTTTGATCTGATTTTAGCAGTCAACTGTAATTTTGAGATGATGCAGTTGGCATTGCTCTTTGCTGTTTTGAGGCAATGTTGCCCTTTGTTGCTCCTCTTGAAATTTAGGGACACACTTTCCTTCGTATCCTGCAGTGTGCTGTTTGGTGCTGGGGTGTGTTTATCCCTTGTGTTTACTTATGGACTTGTTTTATATGTGAAGCACTTATGCCTTGTCACATGTTGCTTTTGAGAGGTTTTTCTCATAAGTGTTTGCTTTGTTGATGAAACCTTAACAGTGGTTGAACAAACTTAGTGCAAACTTGAAATGCAAATGTCTTACAATCATGGAGTATTATTTTTGTGTGGTACTGCCTCTTTGTACAGTACCCATTTTTGGAGAAAAAGAATCTTTATGATAATTTCTGAATATTCTTGACAAAGGTATTTCGCCTATGTGGTAAGATCTTCTTCTGTTTGTGTGATGCTGATCAATACAAAAGTGAAAGAGTAGTGGCTTTACCACATACAGTATATGCAGAGCTCTGTAATATAAACGAGGTATATTGATCTGCCCAGCTCCTGATGTATGCCAGGTGTTTGTGTCTGGGTATCTCAAAAACACCTGCTGTAATCTTATATGCTACAATAGCATTGTCCTTTTCCTGACCTTTTGACATCTCACCTTGCAAAGTTAACTTTGACATTTAAGTCTGCTGTAAAGGTCATGTCAACAAAATGTTTTGTATCTTTTTTAAACTTGTATAGACAATTTTCATCTGGATTTCTGGCACATATGAAAGGGCACAGGTCACAAGTTTACCTAACCTAAGTTATATCCTTTACCCTGTTCAGTAATCTGATGAAAAACTGTGCAAGCTCAAATCTTCAGCAAAATAATGTAGATCTATGTTGTGTGGATGATATTAGTGGTGATAAATTTATCATCCCATGTGGGTTACATAATGGTACAGTACATGATAATTATGTAACCCTTATGGTCATATATAATGTACTGTACTACACTTTGAGACTCTTGGTAACTCGGGAATGTATTGTTAAAGGGATAATCTGAAAATTTTATATCTGATGTAGATAGTTTTCATCATTTAGTTGTTAGTGGTGAGTGATGCCATGAAAATGATGGTCAAAATAATTATTTGATGTGCCAATTTACAACCTGTTAGCTGACAGAGGTGTGTAGTGTATCATCTTACATGTCTGAGGATGAAAAATGGTGTAGTTGATAACTTTAAGTTTAGAAGTTTTATAAAGATTTTTAAGCCTAATATTTTTAAAGATTCCTTTGGTCCTTATCCAGTTTACAAAACTTCAGCATAGTGGGCACACCCTTAGCCCTGAGTGTGGTAGACAAGTGAAGGTGTTATGTACTATAGTTGTATAGTGTATAACCTGTGGTACAGTACAGAACTTCTCAAGAACCCTCACCTGTATGAAAATGGGAAATTTAATAAGTTCTCATAACACAGGAAATGGAAATAATTACTGGGTTCTTTAGATGTTAATAAGTTTATTTGTAAATGTGAGAGCATTACAGAGTCTTCATAAGTGGTGCAGTGTTATGATTCTGTGACACAATGAAATTTACACTAATACAGTAAATGCAGTGTCTACAGTTGCATAAAACTTAAACTACTTTTAGCATATAGTAAGTAACCTTAATCCTTAAATAAGCATGTCATATATATATATATATTTATATATATATATACATATATATATATATATATATATATATATATATATATATATATATATATATATATATATATATATATATATATATATATATATATATATATATATATATATATATATATATATTTATATATAATCAATTATATAAAAAGCTAAGCTTTTATTTGATGCTTTTTTGGCAGGATTAATTATATTGCAACCCTTCCCTTAGCTTTAGCTGGAGTTAAGACAGCATAAGGTAACATCTCTGGAAACATCGCCAACTAATCAGCAACCATTGAACATGTTATGTGCTTACAGCTTTGAATCAATGTACTGTATCTTCTGTGTATGGAAGAACCAATAACCAGTTTTGTCATTTATTATGTTCAGCCTCTGTATATGGCTTAGGAGGTGCTTGTTTAAAAGTCCTCCAGTCCTAATAGGTCCCAACTTAACCATTATGATTGAGACCCAGGCCTAGTAGTTTGGTTAGGTTAAGTTAGGGCTAATAGGACTGGGGGCCATTTGACCTGCAATCAGCTTGAAATGGAATGGGAGGGTTTTGTGGGTGTCCATTTATCTTCTGTATGTTAAAGTTTTCATGTGAGCTGTACCTGTACTATCTAGACACTGAAAATATCACATCTTTTGTAATACACCATCACAAAGTTATCAAAAGAGTGTAACTGTGGAGTGATGTCTCTCTCTCTCTCTCTCTGTGACCCTTAACCCCTCTTCAATAATCCAACCCTAAGGATTTTTTCACACCATTGCCAAAGTCTTAGGGTTGGTAGGTTTGTGCAGCTCACACTGAAAACTCATTCAAGGAGATAGTTGTCAGTGTAGGGTTTTGTGTGGCCATGATGTATGACCTTTACATAATAAATTTGAATTTGGGATATATTTTGCATGCCATTTCTGGGAGATTTAAGGTGCCAGGCTTTTGCTGCTAATATCAATAACCCATTTAAGAATATAATCATGCAGCGCTCTTGTTTTATTATACTATATAAATAATCTTTGACCTGGGAAATTGTTCCCTGTGCTTTATCTCTGAAACATTTATACCAGTCATCAAACTTTCACTAGAAATTCATTTAGGTGTAGTTGTGTAACACTTTTAAAGTGACATACAACTTTTTCACAGTAACTTTGACCTGATCCATTCTGTACACTTGTAGACTGAGTCAGTATTAAGACTCTTGCATGCATTACCACAAACTCCCAACAGGACATACTATCAAACATTAGATTTTGTGTACTATTTGATCTGTGACATTTGCTCCATGACTGTGACCTGTGAGATGATTACACACACCATTACTGAGAGCGGACTACAGTATATTCTGCTGTGTCGTTGATTTTATTCCTTTGATATGTGAACTGGCAGGAAACCAATTATGGTGTGTGTGTGTGTGTGTGTGTCATTTGATCAGGTTAGCTTTGAAACTATAAAGTGGAGAGGCCTGGGATATTATTTTAATTATGATTAATGCTGGAATTATTGCCTCAATATAATTGGATTGATTGGATGTACTGTACCACTAAGGTCTTAAGCCTCATGTATCGTGAAGAGATGAAGGTATATATTGTTTGTGATTGAAATTTGTTCTGGTACCTGTAATGTGTGATGTGTGTGTTAGTGTAAAACATTTGGCTAGCATACTGAGGGGGACCTGATGGAAGGAGAGGGATGTGTGATGTAAGATGGAGGAACATGAACTGTATACTGTAGTGAGTTTAAGATACATTACTCAGTGTCTTCTGATCACATTTACAGCTCTGTGAGGATCATGTTAGAGATTATTTTGGTGTAATCTTATACAATATTTATTTATGATGCAGATTTATGTTATTTTTGCTCCAGTAATAATTTTATAACAGCTTAATGTAATGATGCTTTCTGATTATTCACTTGAATAGTCTTCATTTGTAAAAAAACATACGAACTAATACTTGTTTTGTTAAGGGAGATATACTATACTCTACATATTTCTTGTCAATAACAGACACAAGTTGTGATTGCTGTTTGTGTGTAACTGTAGGAAGGTGATAGTTTAAGGATTTTGTTATGCATTTACAGTACATTACACCTGTATGCTATCTTAATTCATGTTAGGCAGGTTGTTATTCATTCCAGATACTGTATGTTGTATACTGTAAGTGTCTCAACTGTACCACTACTCTGGATTCAACTAATCCTTCACATTTATGGGGTTGTCACTGTTTGAATGCACACAATCACTTCTCTTAGTTTGTATGCCAAATTTTAATGTGCTTTTGCATGTTTCAGCTTAAAGCCACACGATTTAACATTAATCTTCTTGCACTCATTTCATGCCTGAAGCTGTGTAATAAAAAACTTTCAAATTCTGTCTTTGTAAAATGTATCCTAGGTACTGTTCATCTGTTAGTCTGCATGACAGGATTACAGACTAAGTGTTGACTATTTGCCTGTAAGTATGTAATGTTCTGTACTGTACTTCATTCCTCATGTTATTCAGTGAGGCATCAGGGTGATTTAGTAACCATGAATCTGTTACTCAGCAAGATGTTGTTTGTGGCCCAAATGCTACGAGTACACATTGAGAGTCCATATCTAATAACAAAGACTATTGGTATTTATGTTCCAGTGATGTTGGGGATAATCTGTTCATTGTTCTTCTCCCCCATATTACCACAGCATCTGAATACATTCCAGCTTAGAATGAATATCTACATAAAGAAGGATTAATTACAGTACTGTATCCCCTATAAATGTAACTCACCGTAGAATATATTGTATGTAAATGTAGTTGAAGTAGAAAATGGAGACTGGTGGGTCTATGGTCATCTTTTCCTTTTATACATAATGATCACTCATGCTAAGAGTATACAACTGCAGCATTATTATTTGGCTGGATTACCTGTGAGACTTTTCAGCCTTCCCATTCATGTCCATATTTATGCTCAGTAGTACCTGTTGTGTTTATGGAACTCTGATGTTGCTGTGACTGAACATTGCACTTGAAGAACATGCAGAATAATGAATCAGGTAACATTTTGTGCAGTCCTAGTATCTATCTAATATTTAGCTAATAGCATTGCTACAGCTTAATATGTAATTAAAGAAGTGAAGCTGCTGGTCCCTGTAATGCTCTCTGATACACATGACAACATTTACAGCTTTTATCATCATCACTGAAGCATGATGGTAAGTGTAAGAATTACCCTAAACAAGACAAATTTCATGATTATTATAAATATATTTTCTTGTGTAAATATTATTAGACCTTTCATTTTCTGTTCTATAGCACACTTTAGTGTCACCAAGCGGCAGCAGTCGCAGTGGTCGGCGTAGTGGTGATGTTACTCCTGTTGAACATCAGACAGGTGAAGATGTTTACCACACATGGCATGCAGGGGCACCGCATCCCAGTATGCAGCCAAGAAATCGTGCTCCTGATAGCAGCAGGTAAGACTGATGAACTTAGCTACTCACTTTTTCAATGTAGATAACTTTTGATTTTGCTGTAAACACTACGTATTTGTCTGTGTTAGTCAGTTTCCTACATTCGGAGCTTCCTGCTATGACTCATCTGTCACCCATATGTTCCTCTTCCCTCAGGTGAAGAACAATCAGTGTTTCTTTGCTCTTTCCCAAATTTGTTGATAATTGATCCCAGTAAAAATGTGTAAATATGGAAAGAGAATGGAGTTATCTCAATAGTATGAGTGAAGACATTGTTATAAAACTAAGCCTCCAGTTTTCGAAATGATGCAGAATTGAGTAACTGAAGTACAGTACAGTAATTGTAATAATTATTCACAACAAAGATGATCTCTGTGTGAGAAGAACTGAACAACGAGACATTTTATAAACAAACTTGGGATGTTGCTGTGTAAAATATTTTAGATTGCTTTTCTCTTTCCAGTATTAAAAAGAAATATCAGCTAATGCAGTTAATTCTACATTGATCTGTTACTAAATTATATATTAATTTTTCTTCCTCAGAACGGGTCTATCTAAAGTTATGGAATTATTTAGAAGTCATCGTGGAGAGTCAACTGAAGAGAGGCAGCGGAGGAAGAGCGGAGGAGTGAGTACACTGATTTACTTTTAGACGGTAAAATCCAAAAGATTGACATAGTGCAGCACAGTATATTGTTTATTTTAGAATACAGTAGTTAGTGATTTATGATGCTTTATGTAATAATTTTTTATGTTTGTATTACTGTACTGTATATCATTTATAAATGCAATAGATATAATCAGGAAAAAATATTGCAGTACAGTATTCATTTACAGGTATTTTAAATTATAAAGTGTTCTTTTTTATATCTTCTGGATTTTACCGCACTGTTACTTTTTCTATATAACTGCATTTCCGATCGTTGCTTGGGTCAGCGTGTGAGAAGAAGTTTGGTAAGTCTCTTGTGTATGACCCGCAAGGTACAGTATAATGATTATGATATCTTGTATCTTTCTCCTGATGCAGTTGAACCAGATAGTGATGATAATTAATACCAAATATCTCCAAATATCCTCGTTTGTGTACATTTATTGGTCAATTACCATAGACCTTAAACAAGAATATTATTTTATATCCTTGAAGAAAAAGTTTAGGAAAAAGTTAGTTAAGTATTTTGCCTTTTTATTTATATATACAGTATATATATTTACTGTATACTGTATTCATATGGTCTTTGGTAGCTATTCCATTCAGTATTACCTGGGAGTCTCATCAGAAATCTGTAAAAAGTTACACAGTTTTTAATTACAAATATCAAAGGTGAGGTGAACAATATCGGTATTCTGCCTTTGTATGTTTAAACCAAAGAGTTGTTTTCACTTATAGATCTGGGAATGCATCTAGAGGTGAAAGCCATTAATAGTACAGTACAGTACGGTATCTGAAAAAAAGCTTATCAGTGAATTTTTGTTTTCAAATACTTGTACCATGTTCAGGTGAAGATGTTTACCACACTTGGCATGCAGGGGCACTGCATCCCAGTATGCAGCCAAGAAATTGTTCTCCTGAACAATTTACTGGCCTGAATGTAAATTTAGTACAGTATTTAGCGAGATATGAAAATTATGGGAAAATCTGGTAGAAAAACTTTAGAAACATGATTTTTTTTTCCATATATGATGACCATTAATACCCAAAGGGAGGGATGAGTAATATAGACAACTTATGGATTTGGGGGAATTTTTTAAAGAGTTTTTTATACTATGGATGATATGAGACAATACATAATTGACCCATTTGGGGTCATATTTACTGGTAATGGCAAAAATTGATGTCCAGTGGATAACACAAGACTAATCTTAAAGCTCATAGCCAATTAACTCCTTGCGTATGGGCCCTCCTCTGATCCGAGTAGAATTATCTGGCATTAGGCAAATAAGATATTAAAAGTAGCATCCCTGTAGTGAAGGGGTTAAGTACACAGCTATGTAATATTTACCTTTAGGATGAGTTAGTTAGTGGCAGTTTAGCATTGCTGTTTTCTGGTTATGACAATGATGTGTCTTCAGTCTCTCCCTCCCAGTCCTGTAATGCGAGGATTCATGGTATTGTCAAACACTTTGGTGAAGATATAGAAATGAAGTTAATTTTTATGAGAACTGTTGAGGTTAAGGAGATTCGTGTTACCTCAATACTTATGTTTGATATCACTTAAAAAAACCACTTAATATTGCTGTGCTGCATAGATGATGTTATTTGATTATAAAATGTTAAATAGATTGTACTGTCGCTTGTGATGATTAGGAGCCCCCACTTATTTCACCTGATGATTAAATACCCTATTGTTAACATAACCTAACTTAACCGAACTTAACCTAACCTCCCACATTTAACATTAGCGTGTTAAATCATCATGTGAAATAAGCAGTAGTTCTTAAATCTTCATGGGAGCCAATACAGGTACCGTATATACTGCACTGGCATGCAAAACGACCATTGAAGCTTCAAAAAATTCCCCCCAAAACTGTGGTGTCACGTAAGATCAAAAAGTACAGGTAGATGATAAAATGGATATGCAGATGAAGAACTTTGGTCCTGGATAGAGCAATAAGTAAAACATTTTAAGTCCATTAATTTGTCACTGGCTCAGAATGTTGCTACTGTCAGTGGTGTTTGTAATATTTTGACCAAATATTGTTTTGGTACGTATTAAACATAACGCCCCTTTTTTTTTCCTTTTTTTTCATAAAAAATCAAGTTTACAAGGCTACAATTTGATTTTTTTGTTACAGTATCTAAAAAATTTGTATAATGCTTCTTCAGAGAATATTTGGCTTAGATATAGATTGACACACACATACAGTACTGTATACAGTAATATACAGTAGCGGTATTAGCTTAATTCAGATTATTCCTATTTACCTAATGGTCACCGACTAGAGGTGGCTATGACGAGGGAAGGAGGCCAGTGACCTTTGTAGGATCCCTCCATTGTTCTTGATAATTTTGTCAAGGCCTTTTTTGAAGCCCAGTACTGTTTGTGATTCCACAGCTTGAGCTTGTAGACCATTCCATTGGCCTACTACCCTGGCCTACTACCCTCTGTGTGAAAAAGTACAGGGTAATTCATTATGTTAGTTCTGCATGATAACTTGGTGTGCTTGTGGTTATGTCCCTTCGTGCTGGTGATGCGTGACATCATGAAGAAGTGGCTCGGTTTCACGTTTTCCATCCCTTTTAGGATTTTGATTATTTCAATGGGATCTGCCATAGTGTGCCTTGTCTGAAGGGTTGTTAGTCTAAGGCCCACAGTTTTCTTGGATAATTGAGATGACGTAGTTCCGTAATTATCGTAGTTGTTCTGTGTTGTACCTTTTCTAGGGATGTTAGGTTTTCCTGGAGGTAGAGGTTTCCATGTTTGTGTACAGTGATCCAAACTGGGACATACACGAGATAAGTACAGTTGAAGGAGCATTTTCCTATCTTTGTATGGGGTATTCAAAGGTACGCTTTATAGTTACCAAATCTTGGTTTGCTTTTCACACTGCTGCCCTCACTTGTTGCATCACCTTCATTGAACAATCTATCACAACACCTAGATCTTTCTCCTTATCGACAGTACTCAGGAAGGTGTTTTTATCAAAGTAGTTGTGATTAGAGTTGTTTTATCCTATGTGTAGGATCTTGCATTTTGTAATGTTTAAGTTAAGCATTTGCCTGTCACAAGACCATTTGAATAGTTCATGCAGGTCTTTCTGCATTGTTGTGACATTGTCTTGACTTGTTACCTTCCCAAATGCAAATTTGACAATGTGTTCTCGATAAGTTTTCATCAATGTCATTTATTGTACAGTATGTAGAACATAAACAGGATGGATCCAAGGATAGAACCTTGTGGTACTTCACTGAGAAACTTTTTCCATTCAGAATGTATTCCAGTTATTACCATTCTTTGTTGCCTGTCTTCTAGCCAGTTGTTAATCCACTTCAAAATCTTGCCTGTGAAGCAGGCTCGTCAAGCATGTGAAAATAGGTTCTAAACCAGCTTGTTTATCTTTATTTTTTTTGTATGATAATGCTGATAAGAGTTTCATAGTGGTGCTTTAGCTGAAACTCATGCTTCATAATTTTATTTCATCGTATTTTCCTTCTTGGTGTGCTCTTAAGAGAACCTTGTATCAACACATGACACTCACGTACTCAACCAATAAGGTGAAACAGTGGTGACCGTATTTTTAATTTTGTACACACAGTAAGTGATAAAGTGTCGTGAAGGAAATTCATTTGTTAAGATTGGATAGCCTTGAGCAACAGGAGGTAGACAGGAAATACCACAAAAGAAAGATGGGAGAACACCTTTTAAGATTACCTTACCTCATTTTCTGTTTAAAATACAGTACCTTTATAACTATTGGACATAAGCAGTGGTTTGTAATTTTAAACTCTGGGCACAGATTGACTTAACATATGAATAGCCAGGTAAAGGTAAGGTAAGTTGGAGCTAGAAAAGTAGGTACAGTACTGTATAACATTCAGTGATGAGTGCCAGCAATATATATCCTTGGTGACTGGGGAAAAAAGTCACAATTTTGGCAAGGTTTGGTAAGGTGACTTTCCCCCCCAAAAAAACTGTACTGAATGATATGGGGCATGGAAGTGGAGGATGGAGGTTTTTTTTTTTTCTGGGGGAACTTGAAGATGTAATTGAGGAAATAGATAGAAGGGAGGAACTCATAGTACCTTTATACTGGAGTTGATATTAATAGAGAAATAGGTGAGAGAATGATTATATGCCTCTTAATCAATTCCTCATGGATGTTTTTACCCAAACCTAACATAAACATTTGAGTGGGATGGCAAAAATAGCTTAAAACAGACGATCATCCAGAGCAGTGGTTCCCAACCTTTTTGAACTCGCGACCCTTTTCTCAAAACCCCGAAACACACGCGACCCACGCGACCCCCTGCCATCAGCCATTTCAGTTTTACAAATTTTTCTGAGAAGGAAAGGGGAAAAAAGAGAAAACAATCATTAATTCATCAATGTTGTGCCTACTCCACCGGCACAACATTATGTTGTGTGTTCTAGGTTACTGGCGTATCACTGAAATGAAAGTTTTGGTAATGTTCCTGCTGATGTACTAAGTTCTTCTCCCAAAGCTACCAAGTTCTCCCAAGGTTTCTAGACCCCCCAGCCAACCCTCCGCGACCCCCTGGGGGGTCGCGACCCACAGGTTGAGAACCCCTGATCCAGAGGGAAATGTGGGATGACACCGACTGGTTAGAGAGCATTTGGTCCAGGGAAGAGAACCGGCAGTATGTGTTAAGCTTTAGGTCTGACTGCACCAAAATACCTAAAAAAACCAGTACAGTTTATCTGCTCCTGATAGAATGGTTATGATAAGGAGAAAATGTAAGACAGGGTGAATGAGGAGGTTAGTTGCTGGTATGTGTGATATATAATGTGACACTACAGTTTTGAGTACTGGGAGTCTTGAGATAACCACTACCCCTGTACTGAGAAATATAAACGATAAAGGAGAAGGATTGGAGGTGAGAAACTAAGGAAGATATATGTGAGATTAGTAATGGTTGATGGTGTTCAGAGGCTAGATTGAAGGTGAAAT